GGTGGCAAGCCACTCCCACAAAGGAGGCCACACCCACAGAGTAGGTTCGAACAATTTTTGAAACCCACCACTGGAATAGACATAGGGGTGGGCTGCTGGGGGTTCTCAGGGGTTCGGGAGAACCTCTAGTTAAGATTCTGTGCAGTTCGGAGAACCCCCAAATCCCACTCCTAGCTGGCCCCGCCCACCCCGCACCTGCCCTTCCAGAAATCCCCACATGGCCTGTTTTGGATGCGAGGTGAATGCAGGAGAAGCACAGAAGCTTGGGGAGGGCAAAAAACAGACCTACCGGAAGTTTGGGAAGGCTGGAAATGGGCCCATTTCTGGCCTCCAGAGCCTGGGGAGGGCAAACCCCCCCCCCATGGTGCAGGAGGCCGGCTAGGCCACACCCACCATGGCCACACCCACCCATCCACCGGTCAGAGAACCCCTTACTACAATTTTGGAAGCCCAGCCATGAATAGAAGGCGATGTGTGGCATTAGATCCTCAGCCCCACAACGTCTATCTTTGTATCCACTTTGAAATTCAGCCCCGCTGAGCCTTTATCTGGGACTGCAAGAACGCCCTCATTTTGGAACTGCAAGTTTTCCGCACAGCTCTTGTTTGTAATAAAAAGAAGACTTTGACAATTACAAATAGTCTCCAATTCAAAACTGGGATGTGTACAGAAGTATCATGCTGAATCAGACTATTTTCTTCCACAGTTATTAGCAGGAGTATCCAAAGGAAAGCAGCGCGATAATTCATTCCCCTTCTGAGTGGCTGGAATGTGCAATTCAAGAGACATTTTATTTCCAAGCGTTTTGCTCAGTTTTTATAAGCAGCTGTTTCCATCATCACTAAGGATACCAGTAGTCCTTCACTTACAATAGTTCATTCAGTTCAAGTTACAGCAACACTGAAAAAAGTAACTTATGACTAAAACCTTTATAGCAATCCCATGATCATGTGATCAAAATTCAGATGCTGGGCAATTGGTTCATACTTATGACCGTTGCCGCATCCCAAGGCCATTTGATTACCTTTTGAAAGTCAATGGGGAAGCCCAATTCACTTAACAACTTGGCTACTAACTTATCAACCACAGTGATTCACTTAACAACTGTGGAAAGGTCGTAAAATGCAGCAAAACTCACTTAAACGTCTCACTTCACAACAGAAAGTTGGGCTCAATTGTGGTTGTAAGTCGAGGACTACCTGTATTTATAACTGACGCATCAAGAAATAGTTACTATTGTCTATCAATTATGGCTAGAACAAAATTCTTCAGGATATGATCTATATCAGGCCTAGTTTTTGGCCAATTATTTTGGCAACTTCCTCGTTTCCAGGGTGCCTTACAGCAACCAAACGTATTTGCAAATAAAAGAAATATAGAACTTGTTTCAAACTTTCTTTCTTAACAATAAGAAAGGAATTCCATAATATTAATTTTAAAATACACTTTAACTACCGTAACAAAGGAGTAATAACAATTTAAAAAATGAGATTTACTGCTGAGTAAATATTCACAGGAGATTTTCCCAGCCTGGGGACTCCAAATGTCCAACTATAATAATTTCTTGGCAGGAAATGACAGGATCTAAAATCCAGGCCATCATTTTAGTGGCTGATTAATGCTGTAATGCTATTTTTCTAATCTGGATTTATCCAGCCACATCTTTATGAGAACAGATTGGTAATGATTCCTTTGAAAAACTTAAGCACCACCAGAGCATTTTGTCCAAAGAATTTATTGTATATAGCGTATGGCGTATGGTTCATCCAAAGAATGAACAAGCCTTTTAGTAGGTGAGGGAATATGCCAGCATGATGGGAACTATGATAGAATAGAATAGAATAGAATAGAATAGAATAGAATAGAATAGAATAGAATAGAATAGAATAAGAGAGTTGGAAGGGACCTTGGAGGTCTTCTAATCCAGCCCCCTGCCTAGGCAGGAAACCTTACACTACTTCAGACAAATGAATATCCAATATCTTCTTAAAAGCTTCCAGTGTTGGGGCATTCACAACTTCTGGAGGCAAGCTGTTCCACTGATTAATTGTTCTAACAGTCAGGAAATTTCTCCTTGGTTCTAAGTTGCTTCTCTCCTTGATTAATTTCCACCCATTGTTTCTTGTCCTACCCTCAGGTGCTTTGGAGAATAGCTTGACTCCCTCTTCTTTGTAGCAACCCCTGAGATATTTGAACACTGTTATCATGCCTTCCCTAGTCCTTTAAAAAAAAAATTAAACTAGACATACCCAGTTCCTGCAACCGTTCTTCAAATGTTTTAGTCCCCAGTCCCCTAATCATCTTTGTTGCTCTTCTCTGCACTCTTTCTAGAGTCTCAACATCTTTTTTATGTCGTGGCAAGCAAAACTGAATGCAGTATTCCAAGTGTGGCCTTACCAAGGCATTATAAAGTGGTATTAATACTTCTAATGAACATTAAACGTACTTAGTCTTTGCCATTTTTATTAAATATACTACATTCTCACCGTGTTTGTATTAAGATGATTATTTCATTCCAGCATTCATTTTTTTTTTCTACTCGCACCACAATATGTCTTTAAAGAAGGATTCAACAAAGGAATGGGGCAAAAATAAAACCAATTGTCATGTTTATGTGCTATTCCTGTTTTCCAGAGGAAGTATGTTGCTGGAAGAAGTGACCTCCTTTTAAGTTGTGCAGGTTTCCTTGAGACATGGAAACAGGATGTTGGTCTAAATGAATCATTATATAACCTCACATTATCATCTCTTCTGACTGGTTGAAAACTTACACTTTAGATTTTGCCTGTTGGCCAAATATAATAGTGTTTTCATCCAAAGTTGTTCAAACCTCTATCACACTCTGTGTGGTATGAACTTATATCTCATTAACTTTTAGCGGCAAAATGAAAGTGATGTCCTACCTTTGAACCGATCTGATTCCCGCACTGACCAATCTGGAGATGCACAATTTCACGCATCTTGCCTAGATCCAGCAAGGTGTAGGTGAATTCCTCTTTTCCAGATGTTCTTTCTAAAAGGCTCACTCAGCTCCTGTAGTGTCAGCTATAACTACTCTTATCATCTGCCAAATGCGGCTTCTAGAGCAAATGCAAGCAACAGCATCAACACGGGATTATCTGGCACCTCCCACTGCTAGCTACAAGAGCTCTTCTGATATGACACTCGTAAGAAAGCCCCAAAGAAGGAAAACATCCCAATAATTCAGTGTCCCTTAATGCATGCACCTCCTATCCGTGGAATCTTATGCCCAAGGACTCGGCCAAAGGTGGGTTCCCACCGTTTTGCATTGGTTCGGGCGAACCACTGATAGTAATTTGGCCTGGGTATCGGAACCGGCAATGACTCAGGTTGTCCACACCCTTGAACTGACTCCCCGGTCTCCACTGCCATTGCTGGCATGTTTTTTATTAGCATTTCATGGTTTTTGTGCATGTGCAGAACAATTTGCAGTGAACTGCGCCCGTGCACACAGCATGCATCATGGGGTGCGCGTGTGAAACGAACTGGTACCAACGCAGGTAGGAACCCCTCCTGGACTCAGTCCATCCAGCCCAAGCTGTGTAATCCTACTGTGACTTACAACAGCTACTCACATTTCCAAATGTTCAACTTGAGGTGCTAGTAGAAAATCTGGTCTTTCTCTTATCCTAGCTCACTGAGATGAAATAGTAACGAATGACCACAGGGTACCTGGTCCCCACCTTTTATTGATAACTAGCATTATTGATAACCCAGCGTTGCCCGGGTATTTATTTATTCTAATCCATAAATTTGTCCTCAAAAACAATCCTGGACAAAACGTAATTTCTAATGTTGGATTTTCCCCCTTACCAGAGGGAGCCCCCTTGTGGGGTATTGTGAAGCCGTTACCATGGAAACTCCACTACGCTGTACAGTAGAAGCCATTTTGAGGCACAGCAGGTTGTATCTTAACAGAACACCCCCGCCTGAGGAGTGTTAGGGGTGTCTTACCACCACAGTATTTGTTTCCAGAGAGCAAGTCATCTATGTACCACGTTTGGTTGAAATTGCTCAAGGCGATCCAGAGATATGCTGAAACATACACACATGCAGACACACACACACACACAGCCATTTTTATACATATAGATTATCAAAGCACAAGCCCATCAAATCCAACATCTTGCGTCCAATAGTGCAGGCAGATGCCAGCCATATCAGACACAGAGATAGCCATCATTAAAGAACTCTTTTTCAGAAGATAAGAGAAAGCTAAAGGGACCTTGGAAGCCACAGATATATTGACCAGGATCAGCAAAACAAGCAAGAACGAGACAATAATCTGGATTGTGAAGGTCAGGCTGGATTCTTTGGAACAACCTCCAAAACAGTGAGAATTGTTGCTGGATAGAAAGTCACAAACAACTACCCACTAGAAAGTGAGACTGGCAGAAAAACCTCCTTGGAGTAGTATTAAGTCTTTAAGTTTCCCTTCAATCCAATTTATTCATATTCATGCAAGTTATATTGGGTTGTATCAGGCTTTATAAAACTATCCATCCAGGTGTGACCCAGACTGTTGGAAGCCAGCTCTGTACTTTGCATGCCCCTTTGTCAAGGTGTTTTGAACCCTGCTCTGAGTATTTGCATTGTCTTCTTGACCTCTGAAACATATATTGTATTTTGATATTTCTCTTTTTGTGAAATTCTGGCATTATGGCTTGGTTCATGGATGATCTCTAGCCTGGATTTACTGTTTTCTTCAGATTGACTATTTGAGAGACTCCTTAACTCATAATTATATCTTATTTCTCTTTTCTAAGTCAACTGGCCAGGAGAAGGCAAAGATATAAAGATACAGATTAACAGAGTTGGAAGGGACCTTGTAAGTAATCTAGTCCAACTCTCCACCCAAGCAGGAGACCCTAAACCATTTCTGACAAATGGCAGTCCAGTCTCTTCTTGAAAGCTTCCAGTGATGAAGCTCCCACAACTTCCAAAGGCAATTTCTGTTCCATTGGTTGATTGTTCTCACTGTCAGGAAAATGCTCCTTACTTCTACCTATGTTGAATCCAGGGGTGGATTTACTGCCAATTTGCTCGTGCGCATGCAAGATGCGCAGTTCAACTAAAATTGTTCTGCGCATATGCAGAACTCAAAAACAAGATGGCGACTGTGGTGACCAGGGAACTGGTTTCAGGAGGTGGCAGGCCTGGGTGGCTGCTGGTTCCAGTGACCCAGACCACAATACCACTACTGGTTCGGCCAAACCAGTAAGAGCCGAGGTGGCGCAGTGGTTAGAGTGCTGTACTGCAGGCCACTTCAGTTGACTGTTATCTGCAGTTCGGCGGTTCAAATCTCCCCGGCTCAA